AAAGCTGTTCACCGCTCCATTTTACGTCGCAACAGTGCGGCGGCGCATCATCATGAGCATATACGAACGAGCGAAGTCATGCAGATATGACCTCGTCCTTCCTAACTTGTTGCGGACAAGGTAGGTCCTCACGATTGCACAGGAGCTTATGATCGGCGGTAGTGGGGACAGCACTGGCGTTCCCTTGGACAGGGACCTCCCAGACAGCATTCAAAGCCTCCAGGCGTTGGCATGAATGCCGAACGACGGGGGTAATCGTGTCGACGAATAATGCCAGGTTTCACTTGTTCGCCAACCACGACAGTTCACCATCAGTGTAATGGCGAACACGATGCGAACAACAACGAGGCGAACACGCTCCGTCGGGACAACCACATGCCGTTCATTTGGTTGAAGCGGCGGAGAACGCGCCAATGCTGACAAGGATCGTTGCGAAGACTCCCCTGCGAACTACAGCGCGTTCGCTGTGTAGTAAAAAGGGCGTTGGGTGTGGGTAGTCGACATCTCGTAGAATTTTTCAGGCGATTGCATGGCATCCAGCCATCCGTGTGAAGGTGGCGGGCGACATGGTGCGAGAGGGCCGGATCGACGGCGCCGATGGCCGTGGTGGCGGCGTCCCCGTTCTGAGCGCGGAGTGGGATTTGCGAAAGGTTACAAACACCAGCTCAAAAAGGAGCGAAAATTTTGAAAAATATTGCGATTTTCACCAAATCGGTCCGAACCGTCCCAACATTTTCGTTTGGATTCAGTATACTATAGTGAAACCAAGTAAGAAAGCGCGCATGTGTCACAGAGGCAGAGTCGCGAGCGCATGGGATCATTCGATAAGTTGCCGATGAGTCGGCTCGAGACGTTCCGATCGATGGCGAACCAGGCCGGACAGACCATGTACGCCGGTGCAAGTCTCGCGGCCAGTGTTGGCAAAGAGAAGGCGACCCTCGTGGCCAGCGTCGGCAAAGAGAAGGGCCTGAAAGTGTATTCGCACGCGGCGGTCGCGGCGTCGGCAGGGCGATCGACGCTCGAAACACGCATCAAGCAAGTCAAGTCGTCGTCGCCGTTCAAAAAGGTCAAGCAGCGTCTCTGGTCCAAGTCGGACACACAGTCCGAGGTCGACGTTGCGCCTGTGGCGTTTGCCTCCACCGAGAAAGAGTACTACAAGGTGGACCCGTCCACGGTGGTGAAGCGATCGCAGTCCAGCCGCGGGCCACGCAACAAAAAGGACGCGCGATCGACAAAGCACGCGCCAGCGCTAACACGTAGTGCGTCGAACATCGAGACCGACACCCAACGTCGGCGAGTCAGCGGCGGGAGCACCAGCGCCATCGCGCCGCCTGTGTCGAGTCCGCAGGAGATCGAATTTTAACGCTATTTTAATGTGTAACTGTCTGAACTTTTTTCCACACCGCGGCACATCGATGCTGCATGTCGGCGCGACCACGGACATCGGCAACTACCGCAACGCCAACGAGGATGTGTACGCGGTGTTCCCCAACCTGCCACGCATCGCGTCCGACATTGCGACGCATCGATCGGCCGTCGCGGTGTTTGACGGGCACTGTGGAGTTCGAGCTGCAACGTTTGCCCGGGCAAATTTCGAAACCAAGCTGGTGACGTCGCCCGCCTATGGCGTTGACACGTGCGGGGCGCTGGAAGCGTGTGTCCGTGCGATTGATAGCGAGTTTCTGGCGATGGCGCGGAAGAAGCATGGCATGATTGACGGCACGACCCTTGTTGCAGTTGTCATCGAAACCATGGCGGCTGATGCCACGACCAGACTCACAACGGCGAATGTGGGCGACTCGAGGGCCATCATGATCACGAACAAGGTCCTGCAGCTAACCGTGGACCAGAATGCCGCGCGCCCTGACGAAGCCAGTCGGGTGTACGACAGTGGCGGGTTCGTGGCATTTCGCAATTCCTTTCGCATGCCGGAGACAACGCTATCGGCGCCTCGGCGACTTCTTCGACGGGTAAGCCCTTGGGGACACGACGAGCACAGTTGATGGCCATGTCCTAGTTCGCAGATGGATGGAACCACCGTGTGCAACGATGGCCCTTGCGCGTGTACCCTGGTGGGCTCGCGTGTTCGAGGTCGATCGGTGACGTGGAATGCAAGCAGACAGGGTTAGTCATTTGCGACCCCGAGTGCGCATCCTACGACCTCCATGCAGATAAAGACGTGCGTTGGAGGATGGCATCCAGGACGTAGATGAGAAGAGTTTCCCTAGGTGACGGTGGTCGTGGCGTCCGACGGTGTGTGGGAGGTCGCATCCAACGCTCGCGTTAAGAAATGCGTGGACGCTACCCTCCGTCGCTCGAAGCACTTGGCTCACGCAGACCAGGCACATGCCGTCAGTGCGGCCATCGTCTCATTAGCCAAGCGGCAGTCGCACAGCACCGACAACATCACGGCCGTCGTCGTGCTCGTTCGGTGGCGCGGGCTGCAATGACGTTCCTTTGTTATTTAATAACTATATCGAATGTGAAAGGTTTGCCAGTGTGTCGATCATGACGACGTCGGCCGGCACGGCGCCAGTGCCCCAGCGCGCGAGGATCGGAGTCCGTATTCGTCCGTGGATGCAAGATGAGGAGGGCGCAAAGTACGATAAGAACGCGTGGACGTGGTATGGCTCTCGCACGTCCATGTCGGCGGCGGCGAGACATGGCTGCCTTGCGTGTTCGTGATGGGGTCATGTGTGGTCGCTGGGTGTAGGCACAACCGCACGATCTCGCAGCAAATCTTTCCAGCCGATTGCACATCGCCGTCTGCGGAAGCCTCCGCGTTCGAGAGGCGCGTGAAGGAGCCCCCGACTGCGTACACATTCGACCGTCTTTTTCCGCCGGAAACGTCCACGGCCGTCGTATATGCCTCCCTTGCCAGAGTAACACTCGTCCTTGTGTTTTCGCGCGTTCATCAAACGAGTTGCATGACAGGGCGTCGTGATGGATGCGATGCGAGGAGCACACAACGGACTCGTCGTCGTATATGGCCAGGCAAATTCAGGCAAGACGTACTCGGTCCAAGGCAAGGGCGGCATGATTGGGCTCGCCCTTCGAGACATCTTTGAGCACGTGCACGAGCAGCGGCACACGGCAGAATATGCCATTCAGGTTGCATGTCGTGTCATGGGAGCGTCCTCATTCATGCATGAAGGTGGCGTATGTCGACATTGGGACCGATGAACGCATGCACGACCTGCTGGCCCCGTCACCGTCCAAGACGGCGAGGGTTGTCCACGGTAGATGTTTCTGCGAGATAACGTCCACCACGTGGAGATGAACTCACGGCAAGGCGACTACCCAGGCCCGAGAGGCAACTTCCAACTGGCGGGCCACACGGAAGAGCTGGTGACGTCCCTTGGCCATGCACTCGCCGTCCTGGATGCAGGAATTGCCAAACAAGGCCGGCATGGGACAGCTCACACCGTGCTGCGCGTGGTAGAGTCCGGTATCTGGATTCATTCACGTGATGCCGAGTGGACCAGACGATCGCATCGCAAGCACGCACGAAAGCCGCGTCGCCCGCCGCTCCGCGCCGCTCCCCTGGCAATTTAAATCCCGTGCACGTCGCTGTGCTCGACTTTGTCGACTTGGCTGCGTCGGAAAGTGTGACTCGGGCGGTAGGGTCGTTGCTATCGTCGACCGAGTCGTTGAGCCCGGCACGTCTAGGTGGTCCCAGCGCCAGGTGACGGACGCAGCCCTGGCTTGAACAAGAGTTTACTGGCATTTGGCCACATCATGTGGAAACGGAGCCACGAAACAATGACCCACCATCCCATGATCGAACGCGCGGACCTTCCATACGGCGACTCGCAGCTCACGCGGCTACTGGAACCGTCCCTCGGTCCGCACGCCTCTCTCGCCATGCTTTGCACAATATCGCCGTCCCTTCCGTGCTTGACCGAAACCCACAACACACTCAAGTTTGCCAGTCGGTGGGAAATGTCTCGTCGGGACTCTCCTTCATGGTGGACACAGGGCCAAGCGCATTCACTACACGCTGCGCCCGAGTGATTCGATGGAGCGGCAGGGCACCATTGATGGCAACGTCCGTGCCACGGCGCACCGTCTCCATCGCGTGCTCTTGCCTTCAGACGAGGTCTGTGCCTCGATTCCTTCGCAAGCTTGATCGACGTCGTTTCTTGCAGGTCCAAGTGACGAGCAATGTGCCGCCTTCACGATCGAAGCGCGTCGATGGGACGGTCGATGCTGCTGGAGATGGGCTCATCGTCTGTCGTCGGTCGACCACGATTTGCTGCGGATCGTCCAGGCCATCCCTCGCGCCGAGCGATGACGACGGCGATTCGTCGGCATGGGACGATCCTGATGCAGTGCCACCTTCAGACAACGGCACGGCCCAGGAAGACAATGCTGCCGTGCATGCCGCGACCCTGGACCTCCTCCGGCGCAAGTACGTCTAGTATCTGTGCCCGACTGTGTGTGTGTCATCGCAGCCCCGTAGAATCTCGAGATTGAGCCTCGACCCGGACGACGCGTCGATGTTGCTCCATGGGTTGTTGGTGCTCGAGCGCGCTTACCGCCACGCGGCGTTGCCGCCATAGAGTGTTTCGACGACGACTGCGGCTAAATATAACATGGACTGCCCCGTCGTCGTGTGCGGTTTCGTCTTTGTAGTCGGTCGTCATGGCTGCCGCACAAGGACGCGGCAGTCCCCACCACCACCCGCCGCCGCCGTTTGTGGCCAAGCGGACCATGCGCCGCACCAACTCGACCATCATCGACGGCAACGCCATCCTCCGCGGTGGATCGACGTCGCTGTTATCTCCGTGCTACACCGCGTACACTTTTGTTACGTCGTCGATTGGGACGTGGTGGCGGCGGCGACCACGTGGACGGTCGTCCACGGTGGCGCATTTGGCGTCGTCGTCATCGTCATCGTTGACACTTGCGCCGCCTGCTCCAGCCACCCAGTGCTTAGTGGACCCGATCGTCGCGTTTGAGCCGACGCATCGAGCGCTGTTTGGCGCGGCGTCGAGCCGCGGCATCCGATCGTACAACGAAGACACGTTTCGCGTGATCACGAGCCTCGAAGCGTACGCGCATGCGCTGGTCATGCATCAGCGCCAACGAGATGTCAACCATCCAGCCGATGTCGACTCGTCGCAGTCGATGCGCACCACGCTAGACACGGTCATTCGCGACAACACGATGGACGCCGACACGACCTCCCCACTCGCATCGTGGACGCTGACCCCGGTCGAGTCGTGCGTCGGGCCGTCAAGGCTGCCGCGGGGATCCAAAACTGGCGCGAGCAGCACCAGCACGAGCCAATTTTATGGCGTTTATGACGGCCATGCTGGACGTCGATGCTCGTCCGTGGTCGCGCAAGTGTTGCCGATGTGTGTCGCGGCCGCCGATGCGTTCCATACCAACGTTGGGGACGCGCTGCTGGCGGCGTGCTTGCAGATGGACAAGCTGTTCTTGGACATGGCTGCGACGAGGGGCTATCGCGATGGATGCACGGCCATCACAGTCGTCGTACGAAACGACGAAGTCACGATTGCCAACATCGGCGACTGCCGCGCTGTGCTGTGCGCGATGGACCCGACGTCGAACGAAGTGAAAGTGACGGCGTTGACGACGGACCAGAAACCCAACTGTGCTGTTGAGAAATCGCGCATTGAAGCCGCCGGGGGCATCGTGCTCAATATTCGAGGCATCCCTCGCGTCAACGGGATGCTGGCTGTCGCGCGGGCATTTGGGGACCTCCCTCTGAAAAGGTAAGGCGAACCCGCCATGAACGGACTAGGCGGTTGACTGCGGCACAGGTATATTGTCGCCGAGCCCGACGTGACGAGGTATATGTTGCAAGGGAGCGACGAATACATTGTGATGGCGACGGACGGGTTGTGGGATGTTTTCAGCAACGATGCGGTGGGGGTCTTCATAAGGTAAGCATGGCCGAGGGCGGGACGAAATGGAACCTCCGTGTAGGACACACTCGCACTTGCCGCTGAACGAAATGGCGACGAAAATGGCGGCCATGGCCGTCGAGCTGGGCAGCACCGACAACGTCACCGTCGTGATAATAGACGTTCGGAGACATCGGGGAGCCTAACTCAATTAAGTATTGGAACGTGCCGCCTGACGCAGCTACAGAATCCAAGGAGTACGCCAGTTTTTGCCAATCTTGGCACAACCTGCGTAGGATTGTAAACTATACGACGGCATGTCGTGGGCTGCATGATTTAGCCTTTGACCAAGACCGACTTGTGGCTCGTGCTGTTGTCGATCCAAGGCATGGAGATGGCCGTAACAATTGAAGTCACTTGGGAAACCGGGATTGTCTACGACCAGTGCAGCCAAGGCAAGTGCAGTTGACTTGACAAAAACTCGTCAATATGTAGTACAGTATTCGAATACTGTAAAATTTTGAGCATCTGATGAGTGATGCCGTTTCGGCGAAATAGAGTCACAATTACATTTCACGCAGTGATTGGATTATAACGCAATGTGATTGGTCAATTCGAAAATCCCTCGCAGTTTGAACTTTGATGCCAACACCGGTCCTCCTGCAGCGCGCCCAGCGGCGATATAGGATCGACACTCTCATTAAGTGGATGATTGCTTAGGAGAACTCGACGCTTTCTGAGTTCTATTTGCGCTTTAGAAGGATACGTTGAACATGCGTGGCTATCGTGAGGGAGTAAAAAAGACCGCTACATGTCAACCCAGCGCAATAAGCAACGCCCCACCCTTGGAGGCCAAGGTAGACCCGTCGTAATGAAATTTACTGACGACTTGGTACATTTCATGCGATCCCACATGGTCACGTGAATAAAGACCCACCAACCAACCTGGGTCGACCAGCATTTAGGCGAGAAGGCGTCAGCAAGCACTGGCTATGCTGGACTCCTCGGCTTGTGCCAACGCTTTGCTCACCGTCATGGATTTGCTCAGCGAGTTCCTTACTTCTCCAAATTGAAGCAAACCGAGCTGTCTGGGAAAATGGGAAAGTTTGCCTCAACATTTTGGTCCAAGCACAGCAACGTCCCATTGCGCGACATCATTAATGTCGACGAGACGGCAGTGTACTACGAATGCCATTACGCCGTATTTGGTGTGAGATTGGCGCCGGCGCTAAAAGCCTCGGAAAAGCATTCCGATCGTATGACGGCGGTGTTGGCTCTAAGTGCTGATGGTTTGTGATAAATATTGTAAACTTAATATAATTAGTTATGTAGAAACGAAAGGCGGTGGCCAAATTGAAACCGACGAGTTGTCTACCTATCCTACGGGTCACGTCTATGCCGTTGAAGAAACGGCGTGGATGGACGAAGACGTGTGGCTCTTCTACCTGAGGGAGCTCCTTAAATTCGAGCTTTTCTGTCCAGCGACGCTGCTGGTGGATAACTTGTCAGCCCATGTCTCCGTCCCAGCACGACGGGTCGTGGACGACGAGTTGTACTCGTTTCTGGAGCCCCTGCCAGCAAACTGACGAGTGTTTGTCAACCACTGATGTCGGGGTGAGTGACCCTCTGAAGGCAAAGATGCGTGCCGTATGGCTGCGTGAAGTGCCCGTGATTTCTGCTGCGGAAAAGCGATTGAAAATTATCGAATTACCATCACGGCGTGGGAATCGATAAGCGAAGAAACGATCAAGAAGACGTTCATGAAAGCCTTGTCCACCGTGGCGTCCGAACGTAACGAGCAATGAGCTCAGCTAGTGTAAATCATACGTGGATTATTGCAATTTTATCGATTGTCTTACTCAATACTGCCGTCCTTTTGAAAGCACCTTTGGCACCATGTGCATCGACGTGTCGGCCAGCGCTTCTTCGAATTTCCCCACGCTCCAGAAACACTCGAGCTCTCGATCGTACAGTACTGTACATGCCGAAGGCCAAAAAGTAGCTCGGGAGCTTCGAGTACGCAATCGAGTGATGTGCGTAGCGCCACTCGTCATACAAAACGTACCCCCCAGGTGGCGACAGGAGCTCGGATAGCTAATACTGTTGTACGTTGATCCAAACGTCGACGTCTTTGAACTGAGGCGCCGTGCATACGTGGCAAAGTGCGATCGATTCTGAGTGACGACTTGAAAGTCCGGCCGTCGACCTTTTCCTGGCACACGATTGGCGTGGTTAAAAACACGGCCCCTTCCAACGGGTCCAAGATGAGGTCGTCCCGCGAAATGCCGGTACATGGGAGCAAGTGTTTGGTTCGCAAGTGTTTGGTTCGAGGAAACTCATGAGCATTTGACGCCCGTTCTGTGTTTTCCACAACCTTTGCATGATCATGCAGCGAAGACGACAACGAGGCACTAGAACAAGGCACTGACGCTTTAGAAGCGAAAGGCGCCACCACCTTGACGTAAATGATGTCTTGGCTGTCGATGGCCAATTGAGCGGCATACTGATGGAGATGGGCGACGACTACTTCGACGTCAACAAGAACTCCGAATGTACGAGCCATGCCTGGAGCAGGATGCATCGTGTCAATTTCGATGGCCTTAGCGTGGAACAAGTCGCGCCATGATTTTGCTAGCGACCAGTTGAACCAGTGGGTAAGCGCCCACGCCGATGTTGTCGCGTGCGGGTTGTATGTCACAGCGAAGGATACGATATGCGTAGGGCCAATTCATGGACTGCGCCGGTGGACAAGCTGGGAGAGCCAGCCAGACGACGGAAACGCCCCCTCGTCGGTACAGCATATCTCGCGGCCTTCATCAAAGGCCACTTGAACACACGCTTACAAAAACGTGCATGGAGACGGAAGCTGTGGCCATTTGGGTCGTCTGTATCGCCCGAAGAGTCACGAGATCCAAGACCGCACGGCCGTTCGGGTTGCAAGGTCGTTCGGAAAGACCGCGTCGAGATACACGCCGTAGGCAGCGAAAACCTTCCCGATGTTAAGTTCCAGAGATTGGTCGCGAGCGGTGAGGACAATGTGTTGGAGGATATGTTGGAGCAACCGAGTGAATTCCGAAGTGATTGATGTAGCGTTATCTGACTAGCTGGATGTACGTCTCTGTCTGTTGAAATCTAGAGCTATCGGTGTGGTGCAAGTGTAACCGTCGGTGTCGCCGTACTTCAACACAATGCCACAGGCAGCCGTCGCCCCAAGGACTCGCTTGAGTTTACTGATGGCTGGAAGCGGGACAAGCGTGTCGTCCAGGGTATACGTGGCTTTGTTGATGTCTGCTGGGCAAGCGGTTATTTTGAATATATTTTGTCCTTCTTGGGCGAATCAAAACAGCTACAGAGTACCAGGCATTCTTTCACAACTTCAAGAGTAAAATTATTTCTAAATCTACTACAACGTTATTCATACAAATTTCCATATAACTTGGAGTACCACTTTGTCGAGTTTTTATTAAATTGACTGTACTTGGAAAGATGCGCGGCAGCGCAAGTGACACGAGCGACTACAGCAGTCGAAACAATTATACGATACCCTAGGGTTTCTTCACATGGTGGCTCCTACCAGCAACAATGGGCATTCCATCCATCAGGCGCGATATTAGCTACAAGATAAACCACACTGCGCAAAACGCGAAAGCAGCTCAAGAGAAATGACCTTTTACACGCGAAATTCGGAATGTGAAGTTCGAAATAAATATAGGACATTTTGGAAAATACACTCAATTACCAACTTGTATACTCATGAAAAGGTTTTAATACTTGGTCTTGCGTCCTTGAAGTTGTAGTACTTGAATGCAGCGATTTTGCATCGACCGGAGGAGCTTGTTCATCATTTCTTGGTCGAGGGTGTCCCACTCGCGTTGAATCGCGAAAATAAGCTCATTCTTCGAACGAAACTGTTTACCATTGACGTAAACTGCTCGGGCAAGGACCCCTCAAAGGTTTTCGATGGGGCTAAGGTCAGGCAACTGAGATCGCCAGTCCATCGTTACCGTGCGAGTGTGGATTGAAGCACCGTCTTGCTGAAAATGGCCGTACCACATGACCATAGAAGGCATCATGTACACCTCTAGCATTGCCGTGTACATCCTGCTGTCCTGGCGGCAGTCAAGTAACGCCAAACTTGTCGAGCCGTGCGCCGAAAATACACCCCAGATCATGACTCCGCCGTCACCGCCTTGACGCTTGGCGTAAATCTCATCTCATCTACGCAAATCATGCCAGTAATGTTGCCAGTCGTCGGGCGATCAAGGTTGAATTTCTTCTCATCCGAGAAGATGCATTGCGATCACTCCGACATACTCCACGTCACTTGAAGCAGCCTATTCTTTTTTTTGCACGATTTTCCATGTGATCGTCGGTGAGCTGTGGCATGGCTTTGCGCTTCACGTAGTGCAGGTTGGGGTGGGGCCTAAGGAGAGCTCAGACATGTCGTGACGTCAGGGGCAACGCCAAAATGCTGGTGAGCATGAAAGAGCTAAACTGGCCGGTAGACGCGTGGCGGAACAATTGCCGCGCTTCAGAAGACGACAGTTTTGATGGTGATCTGAGCCCCGGTTGGAGGGAGCTGTGTGCACAAGTGTGGAAATGGAAAACTGGGTTAGCGCTAGCAGTTAGCGGGCAAAGCGAACTACACTCATAACGACTAGGGGAAGCCATGATGCACGTAGCTAGCTAATGCTGACCAGGTTACCATGACTCACACAAACTCCAAATGAGCTGGCCAAACTTAATAAAG